CTTATATTATCGAATCTTGACCCAACTAATCTATTTTTCCCTCGATGTCATTTTCCTCATTCCTAGACTTCAAGTCGTGATAGATCCAACACTGCAACTCCAACCGCATATGAGAAAGAGACTGATAGTCCTAGCAACAAAAAAAAAAAGTGCACAAATATAGATTAATATTGTTAACTTTGGACATCATGGTAAAAAAGTACCCTATTATGTTGGTATATCCAAGGATAATGGTAAAATATCCTATTATGTTGGTATATACAAGGGGACAAAGAGCACCATTACATAAAGTTCCAATTTCAAAACCTCTGATAACCTTGGCCTATAATAATTTTGAAGCACAAAAGAATAAAAAAAAATCATTCCTTCTCATTCAAAATAGCTGATCATAAAGTGCAAGAAAAAATATGGCTAATTCAGCATCAACAAAACCAGAAAAAATATTCAAAGATCTCTTGATATGTTATAGTTAGCAAAGCATACTTTAAGAAGTGGTACACGTTAAATTTTTCATAATCCCATTTCAAAAGTAGTAGTGTATTAGTATTGGAGAATAAGTTTGGATATTATGGGAATAAAAACATCTATTTATTTCTAAAAAGTAGTAGTGCATGATAGGTGTAACAAATGCAATTTTCCTTATTCATAATCTGGTTTGTAAATGTTTTCAACTAAACAAATATATTTTGGGCTTAACGTTAAATGTTTTAAAAAGTTGAGAGTGATTTTTGAAAGTTTTTGAAGTCGGAAGATCCTATGAAAGGACATGAGTGAATTGTATTTCACTTAATAAGCCAATGGACATGGCAATTAGTTAGAATTATCTCTAAAAGCAAGAATGCAAATATGAACTAAGTTATTTTAAAAGGCCATTTGGGTTAGAATAGAAAAAACTATTTAGGTGGAGGTTCCTTTCCTAAGTGCTCTTGGGAGATTTTCTCATTCCTCTCTCAAGGTCCATGGTGCCTTGTGGTTTTTCTTGGCTTAAAGGGTAGACACATTCAACATTTTCCCTTATAGTTTGACATCACCATCATTTTCTTTTTCTTGTCGTCCTTTTTTACCTTCTTCACTATCGTTCAAGGTGATTCTCACTATTTTACCTTCTTCACTAACTTTTGTTCCAAGTTGGGAAAATTTGTAAATCCATTTTTTTATGTATTTTGGGTAACTTCATATTAGTAACTCTCGGAAAAGATTCCGGGAGATCTCCTGGGAATGTGAGAAGAAGTGCTTTTATAAAAAAGTAATTTTAAAAAAGTAAAATATCTAGATCATTTAAAATTTGATTTTAAAACGTATCAAAATCCTAATTATATAATGGTCTCTTATATAATTGAGAGGAGTCAAACTCAATAACTCTCATATATTGGGTACGAGTTTGGATCCTCTCATGTAATGGAGAGGTCGGTGGGATAATATGATTATTACATGTGGCTAAGTCAATTTTTAACGATCAGAATTTTAAAATGTAAAATAATATATATTTTAAATTAATTAATTTACGGAAAATGACAATTATGTCCTTTTTTTTCTCTTTCTCTCTCTCCTTCCCCATTAGAGTCTTGGTAGCACTTTTTCTTTTGTTTGAGAAAGTGAAGCCGTAAGAGAAGAAAATGAAGCGGTTGCCATAGCTCCATTCTTCATCAATCAGTAACATTTTCTCTTCTTCAACAACCTGCGGCTCTCATGGCTCCACTCTTCATCAATGTGCAGCTACCATGACTCCATGGCTCCATGAGAAGAAAAAAATCAAAAAATCATCTCCTCTCTTCTTCCTCTTGTTAAAATGTGGTATGAGTCATTGATGAATTTTCTTGATGAACAAGAATAATGAGCTAAGAAAGCTTAAAGAAAAAGAAGAAGAAAGAATGAATTGAATTGAATGAAGTTTCTCATTCGTGAAAATGAATTGAATTGAGTTACAAAGATAAAGGAAACTACCCTTTATATACTACATTATTTTTTAACTAACAACTAAGTGACTGACTAGTTAATCGATTAATTATACTGTTAATCGATTAACTTTTACACAATTATAACAATTTCAATATTCATATAACTGATTAACCCTAGTGTTAATCAATTATCACATACAAAATCTTAGCTATTTTAACACCTCTTCAACACATAGAGCATCTATCACAATGAGTGACCAAGAGCAAAGTGGGAATGAAAAAAGACGTCAAATCAGTTTAGAGTTGGCAAGAAGAATATGAAGCTAATATCTTTATTCGTGAAGGCATAAAAAAAAGTCATGGAGTAAGAACGTTCCCTAATTCTCATGCCCATGAAACCAGTTTGTGGAGTGACATTTTCTTCTTCTCATAAAGCCATGGAATAGCCTGTACTGGTTGAGGGATGAGAAACAAAGAGAGAAATGGGACATGATTTTTTTTCTAAATTAATTTATTTAAAAAATATATAATTTTGCACTTTAAAATCATGGCCGTTGAAAACTAATTTTAACACATGTCATAATCATATCCCACTACTGCCCTCTCCATTACTGGAGAGGATCCACACCCCTTGGGTAGGGTAGGATGTCATTTAATTTGATTTTGAGAATCTTTGAGTTGTAGAGTTTCAAGGAACCTTTAATTTGGGGTTTTTTGTATGCTAAGGTTGTTTCCATACAATTAGTTTTTAAACCATGTATTATGTAATAACTAAAAAGATGAAAGATGCACTAACTCTTATATTATTTAGACTTGACTCCATAATATATCATATTTTGTGAAAAACTTATGAGAATCAACAATTTTATATTATTTCTTATATATGATCATTGTCATTTGTAGATATATTTGTAAACTAAATGACTTATCATAAGTACCAAACTCATAATCAAACTAAATATATTTTATTTTAACCACAATGCTTAAGTTAGTTGTTCTAACGATATAAGATTAGAACCCATAAATGATTTAATTGAAATAATAATGTATGAATTATCATTTTGTTATCATTATTTTAAGATTTTGTTACCTCTAGAGTTATGATCACCTTCATTAATGAAGATACAATTGATTCAAAATCAAAGAAAAATGAAACATTCAATGATACATATATATCTTTGTTTACAATGAAATTACATTTTTGTCATTAAAAACAAAAGAAAAATATACATTTATCTCTCTATTAATAAAGAGATCATAATTCAAATCTATTTGCCCTCTTTCTCTCATTTCCAAGAAACATTAGAGACGGTCATTTACTATATTTCCTTACATGTACTATATATTATTAGTTTTTTACTCAAATACTTTGTTAGTCAATTTCACTGAAGTTATATAAATCATCTCACTCAATTTTACTGAAATTATATAATGATCTCACTCCTTTTCTAACTATATAAACTATCCTTATTGATATACTTATATACAGTGATAAAAAAACCGTATCGTACCGGTCGGTTCGACCGGAAAACTGACGAATCGGACCCATAACAGATATGACACGGGTGTTATATCGGTCAAGTAATAAAACCGGTTAAAACCGGCCGGTTTTGACCAAAACTGGTGAACCGGTGAGAACCGGTAAAAACCGGCCGGTTTATGCATATTCCTTTTTTTTTGGATTTTCCTTTTTGAAAACCTCTATGAACTCGGCCATGAAAACGAAGAAAGCACTTAGAGGTCTCTTAGGCTTGTTTGGATCTTTAGCTGCTTTCTGTCTGCTTCCTCCCGGTTCCAGCAGTGAAGAAGAAATGAAAAAAATAAGAAGATGAAGAAGAATGGTAAGATTAAGTGAGAATAAGAGAGATGTTAAGTGAGAATAAGAGGAAGATGAAGAAGAATGGTAAGATTGAAAATGAAAAAATAAGAAGAAGATGAAGAAGAAAGGTAACATTGGAAATGAAAAAGTAAGAAGAAGATGAAGAAGAAAGGTAACATTGGAAATGAAAAAATAAGAAGAAGATGAAGAAGAAAGGTAACATTGGAAATGAAAACTATGTTTATTAGGTTGGAGTGTTGGAGTACTTCAAATATTAACCATTCATCTTTTCCAATTTTACCATTTAGTACATTTTTTAAATTCAAATATTAGTCATCAATCTCTTTCAATTTTACCATCTAATACCTTTTTTTAAATCTTTCGGTTGATCTTGTATTTTTTAATAATATTACATTGTTGTAGATAAATTAAACTTAGAAGATGATGATATAGAACATCGATATGAGATAATTTTTTTAATAATATTTACATATATTTTCTTAAACATATATGTAAATATAAGCATGTATGTCCGGTTTAACTGACATGCGATTTAATTACTTTACCACCGATTGAACTACTGTATCATTATATCAGTACCCGGACCGGTTTGATAACCGGTACGGTTTTAATAACATTGCTTATATACATTAACCAACCCTACAAGAGATATAAAAGTAATTTTTTAAACAAAAAAATGTGTGATGAGTGTAATTAAGTTAAACAAAATATGATTGAGTCGAAATAATATAAGAGTCGATAAATGTTCATTATTTTTTGTTGGTCATAAAATACATCAATATTTCCAATGAGATGTTTATAATTCTTATATTATTTTATAACGAACCAAAATAATGAAGATTTACCATATTTTTTGTTTAAAAGATTATACTTATTGTTCTTGTAAGGGTAATGATTATAATGTATGTATATAAATTATGAGTGATTTGTGTATAAACAAAAAATGGACGGATGATTTATATAAATTCACTAAAACTTAATAAGTGTGAATGAAATTTATTTATTTTTAATCAAGAAGCATGCTTACGAATTAAATGAGTAGAAGGGTACTTATTAATATTAGAAAGTTGATGTGCTTATATAGTACAAGAAAAATAAGTACAAAGAGTTGGACTGTTACATTAATAAGGAAATGGAAAATCCTATTAACAATAATAGTAAATCAATTTCAAGTCACTTAATTAATTCTAACAATGAAAATTTATCACATGATTTTTCAACAAACTTTATTGAATCAAGTATTGATTTACTTTAAAATAGGATCAACTTCCAACCAATGTCCAAAGTACACTACATATGATGCAAGTTATAAATAAATGGAAAGCTAATTTTTCGTATGTATAACAAATAGCACACATATCATATTTCAAAGACATATTGTACATTCAACATGATCATCGAGCAAAAGATCTTGAAGCTATGAAAAAAGGGCTCCACTCATACGAGTAAGTCTCCTCTCAAGTAATGAAGAGGGAATTGAAGTGATTTTTTCCTTTATATTCTAAGGATAAAAGTGTAATCTTATTTTAAATAAAAATGATATAAATATCAATGTATTGTTTTTCCTTTACTTTTTCATATCACTTTTCTCTCCATTACTAAGGAATAGTCTCACTCCTCTCATACATGAAGACTAGACACTAATTCCAAGTCTAAAGGTCATTTACTAGAAGATATTGTTAAAATTTATTCCTTTAGTAAAAGAAATCATATAAAGATATGAGTAAACTAGCTTAAAATGATTAGATCCAAACGTTCCTCCAAAAATTTTGGTTTTTCCACACCCCAACTTTTATAAACACAATATGTCCTACTAACTTGCATTAAGGTTTTTGTTAGGGGCGAATGCATACTTTAGAAAACCCTAATATTTATTTATTTTTTATCGGCAAGTATTTTGGTATGGGGCTAGACTCGAACACCCAACCTCATTCTCTTCACCCTTTCTCACTACATCAAATCACCTTATAACTTCTTTTTTATTTTTTGTTATGGGTAAGACTCGAACATATAATCGCATTCATTCTATTCCTTAAATCATTCATCTTAGCTATCAGACCACCTTATAACTAACTAGAACCCAAATGTTTATTAATGCCATCAACACATTTATTTCAAATGTTGAAAGATCCCTATTAGTATTATTACCAATGTTGTTGTGACCGGACCGGACCGGCCGGTCCAACCGGTCCAACCGTCACCCGCTTGAGTAAACAGTCCTGTACATGTAGAAAACCAGAATTGGTTTCCAGCCGTTTTGGGCCGTGAAAAATCCGGTCCAACCGGGTTAGACCGGGTAAAACCGGAATAACCCGGTTGGTTAAACCGGCCGGGTTGGTAAAATAAAAAAAAACAAAAGAAAATGTAAAAAATGCACATATCTGATGCTTTTAATATGCTGTAATCGATTACTAGTATATTGTAATCGATTACATCATGTAAAATGCACATGTCTGATTAGTTTATCAGCATGTAATCGATTACCAGAATTGTGTAATCGATTACACTGTTTAAAAATGCAAATGATCTTAGTTTCATGCATGAGTTTTTCAAAGATCAGTATTATACATATTTTCTAATTATTATATATTAATCTAACGTATATTCTAATTTGTAGGTATGGTTGAAGGACAAAATATTACTATTGATGGATGACTTAATTTAGACTATTTTCCTCAAGAAGATGTAGATAGTTACACTCAAAGTACATCTTTAACCAACAATGTAAACTTAGGATCTAACCAAGACAATGATACATGGATGAATTAGAATGTTTACTCTCTAAATGAGATGTATTTTGATTTATTGCTCTAATTATGTAAGACTTAAACTTTGATGCACTTTTATTTTGATTTATGTGTAAGCTTTGTGCAAAGTTATTCACTTATTTTAATTAATTATATAATATATGTATATATATATATATAATTATATATGATATTATATTGTCGTCCGGTCGGACCGGACGGCTTAACCGGTTAAACCGGTTAGAACCTATACAAGACCTCCTCCGGTTTGACCGTCCGGCTTGGGTTTCAGAACATTGATTATTACTATGACCCCCATGAAAAGCAGGAGCCAGAAGGAAACTACTGATTTTGCTGATCCAAGCTTTTCCCAAAGATGGAGTCTGAATTTTCAACAACTTTAAAAGCTCCATAAATACATTACACTAAAAAACATCTCAGACACACGTACATGTATAGAAGAGTTAGTATATTATAAGAGAGAAAAGTGTTTTCTTTCTCTATTTTCCAGGTTAAGTTTGCATCAGCTTCTGCATATAATGGAAAACATTTCTAGTCTCTAGAAAAAGAAGAGTGTCAGAGAAAGAATCTATAGCTAGTTTCTTCAATCTATCTCACTATTTCTCGTTAACTGTTCCAGCACATATAATCTTATCTTTCTCAGTTCTCACTATTTACTTCACCATTCTTTCATTCACAGACAGAAGCATCGGCAACTAGCGCATCACTTTATTACTCATTGCTGCCATTTCACTACACAACAAAATCTAATAAATTCCAACAGTTACGTTTCAAATCTTGGCACCTAACATCATGTCATATATACGAATTACACAACTATATATTTAATGATTTTATTTTAAATAGATTAAGGATTTACTTGAAGATTGGTTCGGTTCCTAAAGATTTAGTCCATGTCTTATAAATCCATGAGTCTGAATCTGTAAATGTATGTGGTTGAATCTCGCAGTTAATAGACAATTTTGCATGTATTTTTGAAATTTTAGAATCTTCTATATGATCTTAATAAGCCCAGAAACTTAGTTTTTTTTAATGATGCTACTTATAAGCCTGTTAATTTTATTAAATCTAAAGAACAACTTTTCATTTGTGATATTTCTGTGGACATATCTTTCGTACAAGAAACATTTTTGAATAATTTAATATTAAAAGAACTTAGGGGTAAAACTTGCCCTTTAAGTTTATTGAAGTATTTACTGTTATTTTACCTGTATAGTACAATTTTCATTCAGATTCATGAAAATGATGCCCTTTTTCCCATTAAGTTGAGAGAGGTGTCCTTCCCTATAATTTTCACCAGTCTGAAAACGGGTTAATTCAAAAAAAAAAAACTGAAAGGACCTTAGAATAGGGATGTTATATGTGATTTGAATTAAGCCCTAGAAAGACCTAGAGGCAAAGGTGTTGGCTAAGTTAGAGTACTGCAGATAAAGATATAGAATTTCACATCTGATAGGTTAATTTTCACTGTTCAGCTTTCTTGTCCACTAGAAATGAACATTCAAGAGCTGATTAGAAAATTATATTTAACAATAATATAAAATTCCTGAATACTTACCTTAGATGAATATTGCAGAAAACTAGAGATACTTGGACTTAGGGTTGGTGGTGCATGCGTGTCTATACCCTAACCTCTCTCTGAGTTTGTGATGTAAAGAGAAGGAGCCAGATGCACAAATCAAATGGGTTGGTCAAGAAGATGTGCTAATTCTTTATGAGTATTTCATTAATAAATAAAATAAATACTATAGCAATATATCTATCATGATGAAGAAGAGGTGTTAACTCTTTATGAGTATTCATATATAAAATTGAAGGTAAAAAATGATGACCCAGTGCACGAGACTGAAGTGTGGTTGCATTAATAGATGGCAAAAAAAAAAGATGTTTCAAGTAAAAAGACAAAGAACCTTATCGTTGCAGTCGATCTCAGCATCGATATCCCTTTAGTCTGTGTATCATCTGTATCTATTAGAAAGAAAAAAATTGATCAAGCCATGTAACAGAATACGGACTCATTTATAGTACTCTTCAAAGCTTGAAACTTGGGAGAAGCTTTTTCATGAGGTCAGATATAGTAGAAACAAGGCTAGAAGATAAGGTAGTAAAATTAGACCAAAGTATATATCAATCTTTAAAGAATTGACAACACAAATCATATTGAATGAGTAAACAATTATAACTAGAGATGGAAATTCTCTAACCTCAGTAGAGCTTTCTTTTTATGGTACCTGATAGAAAGATACAAATCTAGAAAGCAGCATATATAAAATCTCAACAAGTGAAACAAAAAGTCTTACCAATAACTAGTTGAAGATGATGATCTAATTAAGATCTTCATAAAGAGACTCAAATTAGCAAATGTTGGCTGGAAGGAATAAAGCCTGGTCCGAGAATCATTTAAGGTTAGAGAGAATGAATTTCCATCAACCACCCATTTGAAAACTTTAACCACCGAATAATTTCATCAATATACTATTCGACGACCTCGAGCCAGACAATATTCCTCTCAACCCAACATTTGCCGAAACATATTCATAAAAAATACGAGTTTTGAGGGGAGTGAAGCATAGTCCAAAGCCTTTTAGTTCTTCGAACTAAGAACCATTCTTTGTGAAAAGCCTCGAACTAGCCAACATTCCCCTCAACGCAACAAATTAAACCTCGTCTTAATGTTTCTGTTGTTTGTTGCTCCCTCATTCTGAAAACCCTAAGCCAACTATAGCTTATAAATAGGGAAACAAGAGAGAGAACTGACTCATATACTAGACTACAGTAATGGTGTTATTTAGTTACCCATTACCCATTCAGATGTTCCATTGTTCCCAAATTAGCTTTTGCAAAAAGGCATTTAAATTAACAACTACGATCGAAGATAACATAAACAAAAATCAACTCAATTTATTTACCAACACTCCCAAACACCACTTCTTCCTTTATTATTTAAAAATGTATTACCAAACTCATTTTTAAGAGAATGGAGCATCTTCATTAATGGAGTGTCAAATAATATTTTTATACTTAGCTTAAGTATGAAAATGTCATGTAAAACAAGGTAAAAAGTAAAATGAAAAGACAATCATGTCATTCTATTTACACATGTAATAATATTTTTATCCTTAAGCTAAATGTAAAAATATCAATTGTCTTGTTAATAGAGAATATCCCTACTCCCCTTTAGTATACACACTTAAAAGAATATGGATCCTCTCCATTAATAGAGATACAAGTAGTACTTTTACACTTAGCTTAAGGATGAAAATGACATTACATGTGTAAATAGAAGGACATATTTGTATATTCATCTTCCTTTTTACAATGTTTTACCTATCAATTCTCTCCCTATTTCTCAGTTAATGGAGATTATCACTACTCCACTTAAAAATGCAACATTTTTGTTTCATTTCCTATGCGAATAACCTGCTGGTGCCGGTCAACCAAGGGACATGCTACCTGGTTCTACCAGTTGTCTCGTAGTCAAAGACACAGAAAAATACAAAATTGGTACTGAGCTTTAATGCGATTCTTTCATGATTACCTTATTATTTTTAGCCTTTTCCTATCCCTACTTTCAAACTCTCCTGTACGAGATCACATACATGCACGTCCACACCATCACTCCATAAACCACCATTACACTATTATCATCTCTTCTTCTCCTCTTTTTTTTCCTCTTAGTCTTTTCATATCTCTTATTCTTCGGTGTGAATGGATTGGATTGGGCTGTGTAAGTTTGTTCCTTTTCCGATTTTAAATATTGATCAAATTATTATTTTGAGCTCAAATTTGGTTATAGACTTGAAGGCAATTGGACTCCAAAATTTGATTAAATTAGCCTTTGAACCTGACAAACCTTATTAAATATAATGTATATTTCTTCTAACTAAAGTTTTCTATGTAACTCAACATATGAAACGATAGTGTATATAATTATTAATTATATATGGGGAGGAATCCACTTACTCCAAGAGTAAGTGAAAAATACATATTCTTCATCTTAGTTATCAAATCTTGGAAAATCTAATGATTTAGATGTACTCACCAATTCAAACCATTGGATTTCCCAAGAATGAATGATCATGAAGTGAAGTAGGTTTTTTTCACTTACTCTTAGAGTAAGTACTGGATCCCTCCCCATTATATATATATGATGAAAATTTTAGAAATTCAATGATACTTTTAATCAAAGAGTGTCATTACTCTCTACACAACTAAAAAAACATATATGAAAATATGATGAATAAGTGACAATGGGACAAGTCACATCGGGTAATGTTTATCACTTATCTAATTCTAAATATTGAATGGTTCTAATTTTTTAACCTGAACGCGCTCTTATACCCGATGAAACCTGAACATATTCAGACTCAATCATGATCGGGTCAAATCAGGTGAATGAGTATGGCCGGGTACTAATCATCTCTAATGCACATGCTAGCCACATATGGTACAACCATTATTAGCATGTCATTCATCATTCATGTTAATATTTTATTATTTTTTACTAATAACATTTTAATATGAATATACACAATTCCGACATATATACAATATTGTCGGTTTTCTTATATAAAATACTAATTTTTTATTTGATCTCAAACTATTTATCTTATCTTTAGTCATATATAATAAATCTTATACTAATTATAATAAAATGACAATTGATACATTATTTTTTTGCTTCTAACATTGCATCGTTAGCAACAACTAATTTATGTGTTTAGAATAAAATAAAGTATATTGAAATTCACTTTAACTTTAGTTTCTGAGTACTTATGAACCAATATTTGTTTTATCATTTCTTTTCCTAATGACAATTGTGGTAGAGAAGAAATGATATAACTTTGTTTAATCTCATACAAGATTTCCAAAATATATAGTATACTATGAAGCTACATCTAAATAGTATAAGAGTCAATATATCTTCAATATATTTGGTTCATTACAAAATGTATCAATAATTCTTAGTAGATGTTGCTTAGCTTAAGTACACAAAAAGAAGAGTGGTTTCATACTCAAATTCTATATATAAATTTAGAAATGATGCAATTATCCTAACTAATGAATATTTAATTAATTATGAGTAAATTTACGAATACAACTTGGAGTTTAAATCAATTGCACTCATTACCTTTGTCCGAATATAATGTATGCATATAAATTGATATTAGTTTATGCATGTGAAGGAATGGAGCACTAAAACACGGAAATATAAATATAATTCTTAATTAACATAAGTCTTATATTTCTTAGCGATTAATCAGCATCATTTGCGTGTTTGGAAAGTTCAGGGTCCACATAAATTAATAAGACAGTATTTAATGGATATTAAGAGGAGTGTTAATATAAGGAAATAATGACACTTCATTGCATGGAAGAGATGATGACATTAATGTTAATCATATATTCATTATGTGTTGAAAAATAAGTCTTACATCGTCTATCTCATTGTATTGAGAATAATTTAAATACATGTTGGACTACTCATCTCATTGACAATTGGTTTTGAGATGAAACTTTAACATGGTATCAGAGTTAAAACCCAACTTATGTCATTGTAAATTGGTTGAGATGAAACCTTAATGGTATGATTAAATTATTAAATTTGAATTTAATAATAAGATTATCAAATATATACATTTGTGATTGGTTAAAGTACTACATTCATATATGAATTGTTATTAACTCTTTATTAAAAATAATATATAATTAATAAATAAGGTACTAACCACCATGCATAAATATTTAATTAAAACTTTGATCTTGTGAAATAAGTGAGAATTATATATATACTTCTATATTTATCTATATTATTCTATATTCTATACTATATATAAATCCAAAACATGAAATAACTACTCTCATGGTGTAATTTCAAATTTTCTATTTTGCCCTTACATTTTTTTAATTTCTACAAAAAAATCATATAATCCTAGGTAACTACCATTAGCACATTAACCACATATTTCACCTTAAATTGAACATTATAATAAATACATTTTTTAACATAAAGTACTCTTAATACAAAAATATTCTAATTATATAAAATAAAATATATAAAAATTGAATACTTAATATAATAAAATAAGAATGCGGGTCGACAGATACGAAGTGTCTGTCGATACGCTAGATACTAATAAAACCAAAACTCAAAATAACTACCTCACCATGGTGCAATTAATGGTTCCTCATTTTGCCCTTTTATTTTCACATTTTTACCAAAAACCATAAATAACTCAATCCCAGTATAATAATGTATTGATCTAGTGATGTAAGATTTTATTAGATCTCCTCCAAATAACAATAGGCCAAAGGTGAAATGTACGATCCGGAGACGTGACGAGGAATATTTACATATCCCAAAAATAATTAATTAATTATGAATAAAGTGATGAGATAGTCAAAAGTGAAAATAATTAATGAAAATGAACTGTCCTAGAGAAAACAAAAAATGGAAAGGCATGTGGTTATGTGGAGTCAGATGTTGAAGAGTTAATATAGGATGAGAATGATAATGGTGAAGACTGAAGAGTGAAAATATGGTGGAAATTATAATAATGACGAGTGAATATATATATAGTTAGAACTAAGAGTAATAACATTTTAGAAAATTTACTTACAAGAATGATTCATATTTTAAAAGAAGGCATTTATAATTTAACTCCAATTTTATTTATAAAAAAATTGTGTGTTCCAATTATCTACTGATCTAAGGTCTACCAGATGTGAATATTTTGTGGATGAAACATGCATGGCCCTCGTGACAAAAAAAAAATTAATCAGGAAGAATAAGAGAGTTTTATATATTATCAACTAGCAAGATACCCGTGCAGATGCACGGGGTGACATTTTTTCCGTATGCTTAAGAATGCACGTTTTTATGTACATTCATATAGTTAAAACATATATGTTACTTGTGTATTTGTATGAATAAAAATGCATATGTTACTCGTGCATTCGTATTGTTAAGAAGACAGATGTTACTTGTGTATTCGCATGATTAAAAACATATGTTACTCGTGCATTCGTATTGCTAAGAACACATATGTTATCCGTACATTCGTATAGTTAAAACACACATGTTATCCGTACATTGACATTTTTAAAAAGACACATGTGTTATTCACATTCGTATAGTTAATGTAGACATGTACTATATTTGCATTCATATAGTTAAAAATACACATGTTACTTGTGTATTCACATAATTAAGAACACATATGTTACTCGTGCATTCCTATTGTTAAGAGTACACGTGTCACTCGTACATTTTAATGGCTAAAAACAAACATATTACCCGTAAATTTGCACGAGACGTTATTTTATTGTCATATGATTAAGAACACACATTACATGTAATGAAGATTGCTAATTAGAATATGAGTTTAGGGAAAATTAAGTCATATAAGAGTTGATTTAGGGAAATAAAGGAAAATTTTTGGAGGGAAAAAATATGATAATAAATGTGTATAATAATATTTTTATGAAATCATGAATGATCATTGAGTATAATA